CATAATTGTTATCATCATTAACATAAAACCTGCAAACGTTTTGAAGAAATTTATTAGGCATCCACCCGTATTTACTAATTTGTACCCAACTCATATTATTCTACATATTACGTAATTCCCAATTTGTAGTTAGATTATTATCTCTCTCACCCCATGTTAACCATATTTATTCAGACCCTTCATCTCACAATTTCATTTAACGTACAAACTGATTCAAGTCAACACTTTATATTAGTTATCCTAACATTAACGGTTTTACTTGGTATTTCTGCTTGTATCTTCCCATTGAGGTTTAAGACTGCAATTGATCAATCTGTTATTGGCATATGTGCATACTGTGCGTATACCTAGATATTGCCTTCATTCACGAGCTTTTATAAGCAAAGATGGATAGTAGCTGGCAGTGGAATCCAGGATGCGCGTTTCGTCCTATTGGGCACTAGTCAGCTGGATGTAACTGCATCTCAGAGTTGATGTTCACTCTGGGACTCGAACCCAGTATTATTCACTTCAAACGCTATCGCGTTTTATTTTATTTTTAGGTTACAAATAATCTTTAATTCACATGCTTTAATTTTAAACGATATAATTTATCTTAATCTTGGCCATTCATTGGGTTATTAATTTGTAAGTATAATTTTAGAATTTTAAGAGAATTTATTTGAAAGGGAACATTACAAAATAAATGAGAATTATTGATCGTTTCTTTACTCAGGTTGATGAATAATAAGTAATTAAGGTAATTATTCTATATCTTACATCAAACAATTAGACTCAAGTAGATATATTTTTATATTCTAATTATGGCACTTTAATAATAAGTGGTTAAAATGTTTACGAAATCAAACTTGGATTAATTTTGGTTTGGTTACTTGTTCTCTGAAGAAGTGGCTTATCCTGAGTCATGAAACGTCAGAAAATCTGATTTTTCTATTCATTGGGCTATTACAATTATATTAATTTATTTAATTCTCTTAATTGTTTACTTGGATGGATTTTCTACTCATAAATATGCACTACTGAACAAAATAGTCCTTGACTATATTTTGCACAGGTTTGACTGACCTCGTGAACAAGAAAGCAACTGAGAACTTAATCTTAAAAGTTAATCAGATTGTGTCCCAAAGAATGATGTGATGCTGAAATATTGAAAACAAGATAGGATTTAATAGACAATATCGACTAATGTACACCTTGAGTCAATAAATTGAAGACTTCATGAAAACAGAATCACTTGGACATATAAAATAACCAATAACTTAGAAATGTTATTTCGTTGTCATATTCTACAGCCATATCTGTTTTGTTGTATATGCAAAGTTCACTCTGGTCTTTTCCATCCGTAATTATCTTATTTCTTATATTTGTGTTAAAAGATATTTAGAAAGAAAGGAAAAAGTTCATTAATATTTCGAAAGAAAGTTGATCGTAAGATATTCGAGAGTCCATAACACTTTAATGGTAAACATATCATTTAACAGATCCAATTATAACAAAGGTAATTATAAGTGAACAAAACAATAAATATTTATGTTTTGCTGATGTGGGACTTTCAATGATCTGCATTTCGACATCTGTATGTAAAAATGACCTTATTATTTGTACAAGGCTAGTATAGTAATCATGATCTTCCTTTATATTCAGGATTTCTTCATCCACAGTCTCTGAGATCTTTGTCATTTTCACGTGATCAGTATCGTTATATTTTTATACATATCTTATTATGAAAATGATGAACTGTTTAGATTTTGTAAAACATTTGACTATCTATCATGTTATCGATTTGTTTACCCTATCTATAACAAAGAACACATGTTGTTCGAAATTGATTGCAACATGAATCCTATCATTCTTATTGATGCTTTAACATAAATCTAGTCTGCATAGTTATCAGATTAAATACATGGGACAGAAACATTGAAATATAAAAACAGGAAAGACCAGTTAAGCAAGGTGATTTCTTTACTGAGAATTTATTCTCAATCTTAAATATATTTCTTTTTCATAAGAAATCAATGGTGTTTTTTAAGAAAAAAAAGTGTAATTAGCATAGTAACAAAATTATGGAAATGTTGTTCCTGTTAAGAGATACTGAAAATTCGCTTATTAGACTGTTAAGTATATATACAGAATGCCATAGATCTTAGACCAAAATTAGTAATTTTGATGTGGGATTGTGTAGCAGCATAAACTGAAATGATATCTTATCAATGAAGACATGAAAGCCAGATAAATCAATCAGAAGTGAAACACCACATTTTTTCTATTCAACTTTTACAACTAAATGACTTATTTTTCTTTCTCTATCCTCCTTATGGACAATTCCATATTATTTCTTGATGAATATTCAAGGTTTTAACAACTATATTTAGGGTACTTTTTACCAGGATATTATTTTCCTCTATGACGTTGTTACTAAACTAAGTAGTTTATTGTCATTAACAAACATATTATTGATTATCATTGAAGGTAAATATGTTTATTAGTGAATGTACGTATTTGATGATGAATTCGTAAAATTAAATCAAATATACTTAGTGCAAATATGTGAAACTTTCGAGGACTTGACATGAAACAAACGGTAATTAGTACATTAAACTTTTCATTTATATATTAGTAATCATTAATATGAATACAATGGACATCTCGGAATCAACAAGGCGATCGGGACTTCGCATATGACCTAGCTGTTCTATTTCATGCACAGCAACAAATGCTCATGAAAAACAGTCAGTGTAGTATCAGCCTTTGCAGCAGTATGCCTCAAAATACACGAAGGAAGAATCAAAATCCCCAAATACAACACAGAGAGCACTAACTCAATCATACTCGGTGGTGAAACACTGGAACAGGCGGAATCTTTCACATGACCACTCAGACAGCATAATCGATGAACAAGGAGAATCCGGGGCAGATGTAAGCATAAGGACTGTAAAAGCAAGAGCGCATTCCTACAGTTGATAAACGTATAAAACTCAGAACGACTGTCAACCAATATCAAAGTCACAATCTTTAATAACAACGTCAAAACAGTTCTACTGTATGGAGATGAAAATTGGGGAACTGCTACGACCATAATCAAAAATGTACATCTATTTATAACCAATTTTCTACACAAGATATTCAATGTCTATTGACCGGATACCATTAGTAACAATCTACTGCGGGAGAGATGAAACTAACTCCCAACTGACGAAGAAATTAGGAAAAGATAATGAAAGTTGATAAAACACACATTGAGGAAATCATCAAACTGCATTATGAGGCAAGCGCTTACTTGGAGTCCCGAATAGAAACAGAGAGGAGGGATACTAAAGAACACACTGCGTCGAGAAGTGGACGCAGACATGAAAAAGATGTACAGCAACCGTGAAGAACTGTAACGGATTGTGGTAGAAATCCTATACTCCTCCTTGAGGGATAACAGGCGTAAGTAAGTAACATGATCGCATGATTGGCAGTTATAGTATGTCCAAAATTGTTTTACTTATTTCAATTCCAGTTCTGATTATTCGTTAAACTCAGTGTCGGAAGCATTGCTTACTTACGTACGCTTGTTAACCCCTCCACGTGGAGTATCATAAGTCGCCCACCACGCTTCGCCAACAAACTCTGTCCTCGGCTCTGTTTTCCACTCATTTCAAATTCCTGTTCATTATTATCATACCTTACCACAAGTACCGACACCATGTGTTCTCTGAGCTGCCACTTCTCCTTTGACATTCACGATCAAAAATTAAGGATTGACTCGAGTATGTCCTATTAAACTCCAATGTCTTTTCCCAATCTACTCGTCATCCCACAGCTGATAATTCCTCTTCCATAGTAGATTTTTGTTGATAGTATCCGACCAACAGACCATGAGTATCTTGCACAAACAACAATTTATATTTACCTGTGCAATTTTGATTATGGTTGTGGTAGTTCGCTAAGTGTCGGCTCAGTACAATAGAACTATATCGACGTTTGTATTAAAGATTCTGACTTAAGGCTTGTGGTTGCTTTAAGTCCCATACGTTCTCCAACTGTAGAAATGTTGTCCTCTCTTTGCCAATCCATGCCTTCAAATCTGCATCAAACCCTCCTTGTTTACTAATGATGCTGCCCAAGTACGTAAACGTTTCCAACTATTTCAGTGTTTCGCCATTATATGTGATAAGGTTGGTGCTCTCTGTATCGTATTTCGAGATCTTGCTATTTCTCTTTTGCATGTTGAGGCCTACTGCTGTCTGAAGCATCTAACTCTATTTTATCTCGAAATTGTTTTTGGGCTACAATGAAATAAAGTCAATAGTATATAATTTTCCGAACAAAAATTTACAAATAGTAATACTGTTAAATAATTAACATTTGTTTGATACTTGGTAAAATTTTAATAATGAAATGTTCAAACACAGGGTTCATTAATTGTACGGTCAAAAAACATTGTTTAATGCTGCTATCCATGTAAGTACAAAGTTTTCACAAATCTTTTTCTATACTAGGAAAATTTATAATTCGCACTGAATTACATAAGTGAGTCATAAGAAATAAAAAGTAATTTTATTAGTCATAGATCATCAAACACTTTAATGACAAAAATATCACTGGAAAATGGCATTGTTACCAACATTTATTGGTTCTTAATGCTCGATAGCATAAATGAAGAGTTGTTATCATTTTATATTTAAAACACTAGTGACAACTGACAGTTTGACCGCACACAAGAAAGCAAATTGTAAACAAACATTTTACTTTGAGTAAAACAAATTATTTCCAGCAACTTATGCCAAAATAACATCAGTAATATTAATCGTAAACTGACATAAAATAGATGAAATTCAAACATCAACATGTGCTACACTGTCATTCTTTGTAGTCATGTAGCAACTAAGTTTATAGATGATCGAGTTCATTTCAGTGTCATTTTTGAATTATAATCCTTTCATAATGAATATATATGATATTATTTTAACTTAATAATTAATCCTATTCGTTTGTTTTATTTTCTAACTTGTTAGGTGTATTTTTATTTTGTTGGATGCCGTTCTTTACAAATAACATTATACAAGCATTCTGTTTTAAATATCAATTATTACAACAATCTCAATTATGTCATATGCCTGATTGTATAACAAGCATTTGTGTATGGCTTGGTTATGTGAATTCAGTTCTAAATCCAATGATTTATACAATATTTAATGTTGAATTTAGAAAAGCCTTCAAAAAATTACTTTACTGTAAATCTTAATTTCATAACATGCTGGTAATGTATATTTGGCAAAATGAGATAATGAATCAATCATGATGTATGTAAATAAAACACAATCCAACATGATTGTATTTTTATTATAAACATAATTATGCATATAACAAAGTTGATTTTCTTTTTTTTTCTTTTTTTTTTTTACTCTTCAGTGATTTCTATTATAAACAGAGTAGAAATAACAAAATATATAAAAAGAAAATTATAAATTAAAACTTGTTTTGTATTTGTTTATTTATATGATGAAGAAGACTTGTAGCTTAGGTGAGTAATTTGTAGGTTGAATGATAAAATTACGAAAGTTTCATTAGTTTTGTAAACAACATTATTAGAAGCTACTTCAAATGATTATTGATAGTACTTATAAAATTTTGACTTACTCTACCGTATGTATATCAACAGATGTATAAGATATCAAATCGATTTTACCATGGTACAATAGGAGGATTTTGATATAGGCTAACATAGTTGTATAGTAAATGTATTCTAATTGTATTGTAATATTGCTTGCTGTGTTCGTTAGAAACAATTTAAGTCTTCATGTATATAGTTCAATTGTTTAAATGAACTATATTATTTTCACTTACGAAAGTGATGTCATACATATTATTTGATGGGTAAACACATTTTCATCCAACAAACCGAATTCATTTAGCTTGTAGTTATATATAAACTCAAATAATAATTTAGCTTGTCAGGTTTCATCATAAAAGCTTAAGTCAATTAATACGTTTCTGACTTATAAGAAGCAATAAATTATAATGACACAATTATGTCTGTTAAAAATAAGTTATATATTCCTAATGTAACGTTTAAACTGAGTGATGAACTTCCTCATATTCAAATGAGGTATATTGAAAAACAATTAATATAAATTGCCGTTGTCTCTTTATGGTTTAATACAGTCGACTAGACATATGCGACGTCAGACTACCTTCATCTATCAGAAAGAGAAGAATTATGTTTAGTCAACTCATAACTTTTTTCCTATTGAAGAATTATTGGACATGTAAATATTCATTAACAGTACACTTCTGTATGAGTTTTTGAATTAATTGGTCACTCGTTTCGTGGATATTTATACTAAAATCATCAATAAACCCAACACTGTCCATCTTTCATATTTCGGATTCACTGAAATTCATCAGTATATGAGTCATTGGTCAAATGAGATCATGTAGTGACAACTGTGCTGAACAAATATGGAGTGTGGTAAAGACCGTTTAAAAATAATAATTTTCTTAATCCTTTACGTTTCAAATATTCGATGCATATATGTATAACTTGATAGCTTGCCAAGTATAAACCATAAGGTTTATTAACGTGTGATCATGTGGAAAATCCAAGAATTGGAACATTTAAATTTCTGTAAAAACAGTCTTTTCAAGTAGAACATGGCACTGACCAACTAATAAGTGCTGGTCAATCTAAACCTTTGTTTTATGCATTATAAATCAACTTATCCACTAATATTTATTAGTGATTAGGTACATGGTCAGTTTGGTCTATCTAACAATGTTACATGATATAGTCAATAAAATGAATAAAACGAATATCTATATGACATTTATGTTTGATAAATAATTTAGTTCGAACTAAGTCGTACTACGATTCACCAGATACATCTCTATTTTGTTTTGGTTGAATCAATAATCATTACCCGAAAGCTACTATTGAGAAATTATAAACATCACGTTTAAGTGAGGTCTATATGTTGACAATTATTAGCGCTTTAGATAAACTATTTTGACTTTATTTAGTCTGAAAAAAATTGCGTTTTGGACACTAACAGTTGAATTTATGAGTCGATCTAGGCTAGGCCATAATTGAAAACCATCCAGTACTTCCAGGTTTTCAATGGTGGTCTAGCTTAGATTGACTCATGAATTCAGTTGTTGAAATTACTACAACCTCCACAAATCCTCGTTATAATAATATCCATTATTTTTTTAACAATGGTTTACTGAAAACAATGGATATTATTAAATATCGGTAGTTACAAAGTTAAAATTCACGAGGAATGTCCACGAACATAAATATTCACCGAAATCGCAAACCGACAATAGGTATACAATAATCAGAAGCTTGAAAGCACTGGAATGGGTTCTCGGATGAAGAGCTGTGGATGCGTGCTGCCGAGGAGGCTCATTCCAAGACGAAACGCCTGTGTAGTGCTTTCAGGCCTTCATTTTTCTAACTTTGATCGGTTCATGGTTTCAACAAGATTGTTCGAAGTTCCCAAACACATAATGATAATATGAATATTGTTGTCAGAAACATTTTTACATCTCATCAAAATCATACGTTTGTGCACTGAATTTGATTTCAGTAAAACGGACTGAAAATGATCCTTTGAAAGAGAATGCTTAGAAACACTATATTTGAAGGATTTTTTCGAACAATATAATATTATTCTCATCGGTTAGCTTTCTGAAAACTACTGAACTGAATGCTATTGGAATATTACAAAAACATATTCAGTTATAGCAGTAAACAGGTATTCGGAATAAATAAGTGAACTGCTGTTCATGATATTCGAATAGATTTCGTGGGTCTGATGTGTTTACATTTATATGTGAAATGTTCGTATTATGCATTTTTCAAACTTTCAATTTGGTATAATTTCTGACAAATAAACGTAAAATGTTCACAACTTTTGAGGTTATATAAAGATTGAAAAAACCTAATTTTCTAGATAATTTGATTGAGGAATTTAAGAATTGTTTAGTTCCATATTGTTTAAAATTTCCGTTATTTCAATGGCTATTGAACGCTTCTAAGTTTAGAACTAAAAACTAATTATCCTTAACACAATGTAGACAATGTTGTTTACAGTTTTTCACTCACATAAAAATATTCCGAATCCTGTAGTACGCAAGCGATTTCTCATTCACTTGAAAAATTATTGACGTAACGAATCACTGACTCATGAATAACCAAATGGGATCTTCATTAATTAACTCCTTTCCTTAAGATTGCCTGAAGAAAAAATACATACACATATATATGATGTATGCTACTGATGTCAACAGATGTAAGTAGTATTTACCATCAATAGAAAGTGACATGTCTGGTGGCAGAAGGTTAAAAAGAACAATGAAATCTGAGACGATTGACTGATATTTGAAACAGGAGCAATCAAGTTTGAGACAATTGATTGAATATTTACAAATTAAGTATCTACTGCATGGTTCTCAGATTTTACTAAGATGTTCTGTAGTATATATAAGTTATTTTTCATCAAAGTGTAGACGATTGGTTGATTTAGAATTGTGTTTTAATTAAGATTCAAGAAATTTATTAAATATAATAAATCAAGAGAATGGTAACCGTTCTAAAGTATCTTACAACGTAAGTTGACCAGCGAATTTTATTAGCTTTAATGTTAATAAAATCATAGACAAATACAAAAAACGTTAACAAAACAAACTAATTATTCATTATAATCAAAGATTTATATTCACTAGCAGTAGAATCCAGGACGCACGTTTCATCCTATTTAAGATTAGTCAGCTGGAGTTAATGTTCGATCTGGGACTCGAACCTAGTATAGTTTGCTTCAAACGCCATCGTGTCATCGACTTACCTACTAAGTCCTGAAAGCCACTTGCTTGTCCACTGATATAAAGTTGAAATTCACATGGTATTGTTTACTTGAATCTTCTCATTGATGTTTAAGAATTAAGGCATTATCGAGGCAATGCACTCAGGATGACAATAAGAGACAGATCATTTATAGTCGTAAACATCAATGGGATGATTCAATTAAACAATATTAAGTAACGTTAATTATTTATTATTAACAAAAAATGAAAATTTTTTATCACAAATATTAAACAAGAAAAAAAGTGTCTTTTTCAGTTAGGTCCCGAATAAACATAATGAATGGTAAGTTTGGGATCCTTTTATGGACCAATACTAAACGTATATTTCTATTGTATAATTGTTAATTAACTAAACTATGCATATTCATATTCCTCTTATTATAAGCTTTATTTTGACTTATTAACTATTATTATACGTTTTACCATTCTTGAGTTATACCCAGTACATTAATTACTACCTCCCTCATTCACAGCCACGTCTGGCTAATTCTTGTACAAATGTTGTTTCATATTTTGTTGGTACGTTGTGGTCTGTTTGATTGGTATATAAACTCAGTATGTTTAAAATATAATGATTCATATTGCAGAGGTTGAGATTGGTGTTCCAGACTTAACTAGCTGGACTAGACAGAAAGCGAGACCAATCCGGACTCTAGGCTGCTCGCTCATGTTTACGCGTCTTTGATCCGATCGATAAGTCACTGCTCTCTAATTGTCGGTCACAAGTTATAACATTTTCACTTACTTAAACTTTGATCAGTGAAATCGATTCTATTAATAATGCCAATTATTCTTCCTCATTTTATTTTTATTTAATTGGTTTCATTTTTCATTTAATTTTATTATTTCATTTTAAATGATTGGAAAAAAATAATTTAAGTTTCTATTCAAAAGAAGGTTATCTGTTAATATGTAAATAGTTTTGAGAATCAAATTAATTTAACATTTTCACTGACCTTCTCTGAAAAATTAGTAAATATTAACAAATATTAAATGAAGTTAGAGATTAACACCGTTCGATACCGGCTCAGTGGTCTAATGGTTTAATGATGCGTGAGGCTGATAGGTCCAGGGTTCTAATCGTGGATGTGCACCTCTGCAGAGTCCCATACTAGGACGAAACGGCCATTCAGTGCTCCCAAGTTTTCCATGATGGTTTGGCTTCAAATGACTCCTGATTTCAACTATTGATATATATATGATTTACAATGATGAATTAATACTTGTCGAGTGAATACGTTACATAATAATTATATAGTGACATGTCGATTACAAATTAACATTATTAATCCTTTTTTCTTTCGATTACTCAATGTTAATTCATAATCGATACCTCATTAGATAATTATATATATAGTTGAAATCAGGAGTCATTTGAAGCCAGACCATCATGGAAACCCTGAAAGCACTGAGCTCATGATTTCAACTACCAAAATTACTAAAATCTCCACAAAATCCCTTCTGATCACTATATATATCAGTGTAAAGCCATGATGAAAAACTAGAT